TCAAAAGATCGAGACCATCCTGGTCAACATGGTGAAACCCCGTCTCTACAAAAAATTAGCTGGGCATGGTGGCACGTGCCTGTAATCCCAGCTACTCAGGAGGCTGAGGCAGGAGAATTGCCTGAACCCAGGAGGCGGAGGTTGCAGTGAGCCGAGATCGCGCCATTGCACTCCAGCCTGGGTAACAAGAGCGAAAACTCCGTCTCAAAAAAAAAAAAAAAAAAAAAAAGAGTTTACTTGATGCCTGTAATCCGAGCATTTTGAGAGCCCAAGGCAGGAGGATCACTTGAGGCCATGAGTTGGAGACTAGCCTGAGCAACACAGTGATGCCCCCATCTCTACAAAAATAAAAATAAAAAATTAGATGGGTGGCCAGCCTCAGTGGCTCACACCTGTAATCCCAGCACTTTGGGAGGCTGAGGCCAGTGGATCACGAGGTCAGGAGTTCGAGACCAGCCTAACCAACATAGGGAAAGCCCGTCTCTACTAAAAATACAAAAAATTAGCCAGGTGTGTTGCTGTATGCCTGTAGTCCCAGCTACTCAGGAGGCTGAGGCAGGAGAATAGCGTGAACCTGGGAGGCAGAGGTTGCAGTGTGCAGAGATCACGCCACTGCACTCCAGCCTGGGCAGCAGAGTGAGACTCCATATCAAAAAAAAAAAAAAAAAAAGAAAAGAAAAAGAAAAAGAAAATATGGCTGGGCATGGTGGTTCACCCCTGCAATTCCAGCACTTTGGGAGACCGAGGCAGGTGGATCACCTGAGGAGTTTGAGACCTGACCAACATAGAGAAACCCCATCTCTACTAAAAATACAAAATTAGCCAGGTGTAGTGGCACATTCCTATAATCCCAGCTACTTGGGAGGCTGAGGCAAAAGAATCACTTCAACCTGAGAGGCAGGGTTTGTGGTGAGCCAAGATCGTACCATTGAACTCCAGCCCAGGCAACAAGAGTGAAACTCCATCTCAAAAAAGAATATATACATATATACAAAATATTATCTGGGTGTGGTGATGTGCACCCGTAATCTCAGCTACTCGGGAAGCTGAGACAGAAGATTCTCTTGAACCCGGTAGGTAGAAATTGCAGTGACCTGAGATTGAGCCACTGCACTCCAGGATGGGTGATGGAGGAAGATTCTGTCTGAAAAAAAAAAAAAAAAAAGAATTACCATAGAATCGAGCAATGCCACTACTGGGAATATATATTGAAAAATGAAAGCAAGGTCTCAAAGAGATATCCACTTTCCTAATGGATATCATATGAACTTCTGGTCTCAAGCAATCCTTCCACTTCGGCCTCCCAAAGTGCTGGGATTACAGGTGTCACCAAGTAAGCTCTTTACATCATATTTTGTGCTTCAGCCTCTTCCTTTGAGGTTGATACCACTTCACTTTCGCTATCATGAAGTCATGTTCATGACAGCTAAAATGTAGAAGCGGCCCAACTGTGCACCCACAGATTAATGTGCTATATACATACATACAATGGGATATTACTAGGCTATAAAAAGGAAGAAAATTCTGACACATGGTTCAACATAGATGAAACTTGAGGACATGTGCTAAGTGAAATAAACCAGTCACAAAAGACAAATACTGTATAATTCTACTTGAATGAGGTACTCAAATTTTTCTCTTTTTCTTTTTTTTTTTTTTTTGGACGGAGTTTCGCTCTTGTTACCCACGCTGGAGTGCAATGGCGCAATCTCAGCTCACCGCAACCTCCGCTTCCTGGGTTCAGGCAATTCTCCTGCCTCAGCCTCCTGAGTAGCTGGGATTACAGGCACGTGCCACCATGCCCAGCTAATTTTTTGGATTTTTAGTAGAGACGGGGTTTCACCATGTTGACCAGGATGGTCTCGATCTCTTGACCTCGTGATCCACCCGCCTTGGCCTCCCAAAGTACTCAAATTTCTTTACAGAAAGTAGAACCGTGGTTGCCAGGGTATAGAGTTTCATTTTTGCAAGATGAATTCTAGAGATAGACGATAGTGATGGTTGCACAGCAGTATGAATGTCCACTGAAATGTATACTTAACAATGGTTAGGATGAGCTGGGCATGGTGGCTCACACCTGTAATCCCAGCACTTTCGGAGGCCTATGTGGGTGGATTACCTGAGGTCAGGAGTTCGAGACCAGCCTGGCCAACATGGTGAAACCCCGTCTCTACTAGAAATAAAAAATTAGTCAGGTGTGGTGGTGTGCGCCTATAGTCCCAGCTACTGAGGAGGCTGAGGCAGGAGAATTGCTTGAACCCAGGAGGTGGAGGTTGCAGTGAGCCAAGATTGCACCACTGCACTCCAGCCTGGACGACAGAGAGAGACTCGGTCTCAAAAAGAAAAAGAAAAAGAAAAAGGTTAGTATGACCAGGTGTGGGGGTATGCTCCTGTAGTGCCAACTACTCTGTAGTCTGAGGCCATGAGTTTGAAGCTACAATGCCCTATAATCACATCTGTAAATAGACATTGCACTCCAGTCTAGGCAAAATAGCAGGATCCTGTCTCTTGGTTTTTTGTTTGTTTGTTTGTTTTGGTTTGTTTTTGAGCAGGAGTCGTGCTCTGTCACCCTGGCTGGAGTGCAATGGCACCATCTCAGCTCACTGTAACCTCCGCCTCCCAGGTTCAAAGGATTCTCCTGCCTCAGCCTCCTAAATAGCTGGGACTACAGGTGCCCGCCACCATGGCTGACTAACTTTTGTATTTGTATCGTACTTTTGTATTTTGTATGTGTCTCACATTGGCCAGGCTGGTCTCGAAACCTGACTTCAGGTGATCCACTTGCTTTAGCCTCCCAAAGTGCTGGGATTACAGGCCTATGATCCTGTCTCAAAATAAATAAATAAATAATGATTAAGATGGTAAATTTTATCTTAAGAGTATCTTATCACAATTGGAACTTCTTTAAAAGTTGAACAACATTGACATCTGCACCAGGATAAGAAAAAAAATACTTATTTTGTGTTCATGTTTTTTTGTGTGTTCGTATTCTGAAGAAATCAGAAAAAATAATAATTTTTTAAAAAGTTAAAAAACAAACCACAAACAAAATTACAGAGGCCTTTAGCCAATAATTTTAAGGAAATAAATGTAAATTTAGGGTGCTGGGTGAGGTGGTTCAAGCCTGTAATCCCAGCACTTTGAGGAGTTAAGGTAGGCAGATCATTTGCGCTCAGGAGTTCGAGAACAGCCTGGGCAACATGGTAAAATCCCGTCTCTACCAAAAATACAAAAAATAGCCAGGTGGTGGTACACGCCTGTGGTTAGTAGCCAGGTGGTGGTAGCTACTGAAGACGTTACTTTTGGGGGTGAGGCAGGAGGATCGCTTGAGCCGGGGAGGTGGAGGTTGCAGTGAGCCATTATTGCATCACCACACACCAGTCTGGGTGACAGAGCAAGACCGTCTTTAAAAAAAAAAGTAAATGTGGAAAAACATTTATGAACAAAGATATCCATTGCCCCAAACTGGAAACCCAAATGTCTAACAGTAAAAGAACGGCTGCTGTAACAGAATGTCTTAGAAAAAACAGCCAGGTGCAGTGGCTCAAGCCTGTAATCCCAGCACTTTGGAAGGCCGAGGCGGGTGGATCACGAGGTCAAGAGATCGAGACCGTCCTGGTCAACATGGTGAAACCCTGTCTCTACTAAAAATACAAAAAATTAGCTGGGCATGGCAGCGCGTGCCTGTAATCCCAGCTACTCAGGAGGCTGAGGCAGGAGAATTGCCTGAGTCCAGGAGGCGGAGGTTGCAGTGAGCTGAGATCGCTCCATTGCACTCCAGCCTGGGTAACAAGAGTGAAACTCCGTCTCAAAAAAAAAAAAAAAGAAAAGAAAAGAAAAGAAAAAACAAACAAGGAGGCCAGGCATAGTGCCACACACCTGTAGTGCCTGAATACTTTGGAGGGTGGATTGCTTGAGTTCAAGAGTTGGAAAACAGCCTGGCAATATGGCGAAACCCAGTCTCTGCAAAAAAAATACAAAAATTTAGCTGGGTGTGGTGGCACACCTTCGGTCTCAGCTACTTGGGAAGGTGAGGCAGGAGGATCGCTTGAGACCAGGAGGTGGAGGTTGCATTGAGTTGAGATCATGCCACTGCACTCCAGCCTGGATGATAAAGCCAGACTGTCTCCAAAAAAAATCCAAAAGGCTGAGATGGGAGAATTGCTTGAGCCCAGGAGTTCAAGATTGTAGTGAGCTATGATTGCATCACAGCACTCCAGCCGGGTGACAGAGCAAGAGTCAGTCTCTTTAAAAAAAAAAAAAAAGAAGTTAAAATGATATAATAAATGCCAGGCATGGTTGCTCACACCTATAATCCCAGCAGTTGGGGAGGCCAGAGCAGGAGGCTCACTTGAGCCCAGGAGTACAAAACCAGCATAGGCAACAAAGCAAGACTCCAGCTCTACAAAAATAAAAATAAAGATAAATTAGCTGAGTGTGGTGGCGCATGCCTATAGTCTTAGCTACTCAGGCAGGCTGATGAAGGAGGATCACTTGAGCTCAGGAGGTCAAGACTACAGTGAACTATGATTGTACCGCTGCATTCTTGCATCCTGGGCAGCAAAGAGCAAGCCCCATCTCTAAAAAATAAAATAAAATAAAAATTTAAGTAAAATTAAAAGGCGAGTTTAACAACATGGCAAAAAGTTTACTGGGCATCTTTTTGCCTATAGTAGAGCCAGCCATCTAAAAACAGTTCAGGCCTGGGCTCTGCTACCTGTCAGCTGCGTGGCCCTGGGGCGGGTCCCTCACACTCTGTGAGCCTCATTTGTCAAGCCACCTGGTGCTGTGTGTGCTATGGATGGTAGCTGTCCTCAAGGAGGTGCTCTTCAAGGGGAGTGTGGGTGTCCAGATCCTGGTGTAGGGGAGGCACTGTGTGCTCCCTGGCCCATGAGACGGGATTGGGTTTGGGGGCCAGGGCAGGAGGAGGGGCCCGTCACTGGGGGAAACGGCTCGTGGTGGAGCAGCTGAGATGCAGCTGGGCCTGTGGCCTGGAAGGCAGTCTTGTGGGTGCCTCCTCCCCCAGCCCACAACTCAGGTCTGCAGCTGGGTCCTGCCTCCTTCTGAGTGGGCCATGGCTGGCACATGGCTGCTACTTCTCCTGGCCCTTCGGTGTCCAGCTCTACCCACAGGTGAGCCCCCTCTTTGCATCCCTCTCTGGTCCTCCTTAGTCTGCCCAAGCCCATCCCCTCATTCTGGACCTCCGTGGCTATTGGTGGGTTGCAGGGAGGAAGAACAAGAGCCCTTTAGGGACCCCTGGGGAGGGTCTCACCCACTATACTCTTCCCACTGTACTCTTCTTCCCAGCCACCTTGCTCTGGGGACCCCACGTCCTCCTGCCCTGGAGCCCACAGTGTTGGTAGGGAGGCTGCCCCTCTTAGAGGTAGAGAGGAATGAGAACAAATTGGATGAGCATCCACAGCAGGTGGGGTTAGGGGAGCCAGGGTGTGTGATGTGATATGCAATGATGGGACATGGGTGACATTTTGAGGTCCTGTCCTGTCCTTCTTGCCCTCTGGGCACTTGTCCTAGTCCAACAGGACTCAGGGTGTCTCAAGTTCACTCCCAGCTCCCCCTTATCAAGGGGCTCAGGATAGGTCCCAAGGCCTCTTCCCAGAGTATTTACCCCCAGCCCTCCCATGATCAAGGCTGGGGCCAAAGGAATCATGCTTTGAGGGGAGAATTCCAGCTTCATCTAGAAGCACGTGCATGTGTACATGTGTGTGGTGGGGGAAGGTCCTTGACTTTTGAGTCAGGGTGGGGTCTCCTTGATCTAAAGCTGGCCCCAAGTATCTCACACACACTCCATCATTAGAGAGAAAACACACTTATGTGGATGTCTGCACCCAGGTGAGAAAAAAAAAAAAAAAAAAAAAAACTTTCCCATGGCAGAAGGCCTGAACTCCGGGAAGGAAGTAGCCAGGGTAAGCAGGAACAATCCTGGGAAGCTTCATGGAAGAAGTGGAAGCTGAACTCAACTTGAGGAATGGCTCTATCTCTGTAACTGAAAAGACTCTGGACATTGAGTCCTGGAGCTCTACTACCTTTGCAATGCCTTATTAATATTAATATTGATAATTGCACTAATACTTCTCTGCCAGGGCATTTTACACTTATGGCCTTTACTCTTCACAACAATTTTGCTAGGCTGGTGTTATTAACTCCATTATATTATTATTATTATTGTTTATTAAGTTTTTTAGAGTCTCATTCTGTCTCCCAGGCTGGAGTGCAGTGGCACCATCTTGGTTCACTGCAGCCTCCACCTCCCAGTTTCAAGCGATTCTCCTGCCTCAGCCTCCCCAGTACCTGGGACCACCTATGGGTGCGCACCATCACACCCGACTAATTTTTGTATTTTTAGTAGAGATGGGGTTCCATCATGTCGGCCAGGCTGGTCTTGCACTTCTGACCTCGTGATCAGTCCACCTTGGCCTCCCAAAGTGCTGGGATTACAGGTGTGAGCCACTGTGTCCAGACAAAAAAGTGTTTGGTTTTTTTTTTTTTAAAAAAGAGTGAGCCAGGCAAGGTGGCTTGCTCCTGTAATCCCAGCACTTTGGGAGGCCAAGGAGGGTGGATCATGAAGTCAGGAGTTCAAGACCAGCCTGGTCAACATGGTGAAACCCAGTCTCTACCAAAAATACAAAAATTAGCTGGGCATGGTGGCTCATTCCTATAAACCCAGCTACTCAGGAGGCTGAGGCAGAAGAATTGCTTAAACCCAGGAGGTGGAGGTTGAAGTGAGCCAAGATCATGCCACTGCACTCCAGCCTGGGTGACAGAGCGAGACTCCATCTCAAAACAAAATAAAACAAAACCTACAGAAAAAAGTTGAGAATTAAAGAACAAATACCCATGCACACTCCACCTAGATTAACAAATATTTAACATTTTGCCATATTTAAATCAGACTTTTCAGAAAAGAAACAAAAAGTTACAGATCAATTTGAAACCCCTCTAATCTTATTCCACGCCTTGTTTCCTTCCCTTCCTCCCCAGAGGCTGCCACACAGGGTACAGGTATTTGTTTACACATCTACTGGCTTTCCCATGGAACTGAGTTCCTTGAGGGCAGGGACAATGACTTACCGAATGTTGTATCTCTAGTTCCTGGCACAGATATCATAGACAAGTGGATGGAAGGAGAGGTGGGCGGATGGATGGACAGATACACAGATGAAAGACAGAAAGAACAGATGGAGGATAGTTGGCTGACAGACGAAGGGATGAATAAATAGGTGAGTGAATGAAAGGATAGGCAGATGGAGGGAAGGAAGTGTGGCTAGATGGAAAAATGCAGAGGGAGGGATGGATGAGTGTCTAGAAGGACAGGTAGGTGGATGGTGGAAGGATGGATAGATGGAAAGATAGAAATGTAGAACCCTAGCCTACAATGCAATGCTGGTCTGGGAGGCCACAAGCTGGTCTAGCACCCACAGGTGCATGCTCTCTTGCAGGTGTGGGCGGCACACCCTTTCCCTCTCTGGCCCCACCAATCACGCTACTGGTGGATGGGAAGCAGAAGATGATGGTGGTCTGCCTGGTCCTCGATGTTGCACCCCCTGGCCTTGACAGCCCCATCTGGTTCTCAGCCGGCAATGGCAGTGCCCTGGATGCCTTCACCTATGGCCCTTCCCCAGCAATGGATGGCACCTGGACCAGCCTGGCCCACCTCTCTCTGCCTTCTGAGGAGCTGGCATCCTGGGAGCCTCTGGTCTGCCACACCGGGCCTGGGACCGAGGGCCACAGCAGGAGTACACAGCCCCTGCAGCTGTCAGGTGGGGATGGAGCCTGGGTCTTTGTGGATGCTCTCTGTCCCCTTCCACTCACCAGGATATGATTGGAGGGAGGGCAGGCTCCAGGCCACAAAGGCGTGAAAGGTGTGGAGTGCAGAGCCTCCAGGTCAGGTGACACCTGGGCTCAGGGGGGAGTGGTCTCAGAGCCGTGAATTCTGGGATTTGCAACTGCAATACCTGTATGAAATCCAGGCTCTGCGGCGTGGCTTCCAAGGATAAAAATGCCTCCTTCCACCTAAGATTCATTATACACACATAGATATATCACCCCGTGTACATGACACCCTATAAAGACAAAACTAATTAAATAACAAATCACTACCACTTATTGAGTGTTTATTCTGTGCCAGGCAGTGCTCTACACACTTTACATTTATGAGACAGGTCATATCACTCCCTCAATTTTACAGACACGGGGAGGTTAACTAATGTGTCCAAAGCCAGCTATTTTTTTTCCCCTCCACTGTATTTTGAAATAGTAAGCCTTTTTTTTTTTTTCTTTTTGAGACGGAATCTCACTCCGTCACCCAGGCTGGAGTGCAACGGTGCGATCTTAGCTCATCACTGCAATCTCTGCCTCCCAAGCGATTCTCTCGCCTCAGCCTCTGGAGTAGCTGGGATTACAGGCGCCCACCACGATGCCCGGCTCACTTTTTTGTATTTTTTAGTAGAGACAGGGTTTCACTATGTTTGGCCAGGATTATCTCAAACTCCTGACCTCATGATCCACCCGTCATGGCTTCCCAAAGTGCTGGGATTACAGGCATGAGCCACTGTGCCTGGCCATAGTCAGCTATTATTTTCACTGACCAGATGACTTACTTCCTCTCTGGGGATTATCTCAGTTTTGTCATCTTCCAAATGAGAATGTTTGTTGACTAAGTGCCCCAACTTCCAAAGAATGCTATGAAGATGGTCAGTTCCTTATCTGAGAGTGCCAGGCACCCCAACCTCACCCGGGCCTAGAACAGGGGACAGTGCAAAATGAGGGATATTTGGGCCCTCAGAGGACTTGCAGCAAATGGGCTCAAGTTCGCTGCTGGCTCGCTTGTCCATTCACCTCGAATGCCTTGACAGCCACCCTGTGCCAGGGCCTGGGCATACCACTGGGGATGCCCTCCAGAGTGCATGGCCCATCGCCAAAACTCATTCCCTTCTCCTTGGCCAACAGGAGAGGTTTCCACAGCCAGGACCTGCCCCCAGGAGCCTCTCAGGGGTGAGTACTTGGGGCAAGGAGTGGGGAATAAGAGGCTGGGACCCGGACTTTGGGCCTGGGGGTTGAAGGATTCAGCTCTGGCCTAACGGGTCCTGCACTGGGGGTTAGTGGGTATCCCATGTAGAGGCTGTCATGCTAGGTTGGGGCACTGGCTGGCTGGGCCTCAGTCTACAAGAGGATAAGATAAGGGTAAATCGGCTGGGCGTGGTGGCTCACGCCTGTAATCCCAGCACTTTGGGAGGCCGAGGTGGGTGGATCACTTGAGGTCAGGAGTTCGAGACCAGCCTGGCAAACATGGTGAAAGCCCATCTTAAAAAAAAAAAAAAAAGGCCGGGCACGGTGGCTCAAGCCTGTAATCCCAGCACTTTGGGAGCCCAAGGTGGGTGGATCACGAGGTCAAGAGATCAAGACCATCCCGGTCAACATGGTGAAACCCCGTCTCTACTAAAAATACAAAAAAAACATTAGCTGGGCATGGTGGCGCGTGCCTGTAATCCCAGCTACTCAGGAGGCTGAGGCAGGACAATTGCCTGAACCCAGAAGGCGGAGGTTGCGGTGAGCCGAGATCGCACCATTGCACTCCAGCCTGGGTAACAAGAGCGAAACTCCGTCTCAAAAAAAAAAAAAAAAAAAAAAAAGAGATCGAGACCAGCTGGGCTAACATGGGGAAACCCCGTCTCTACTAAAAATAGAAAAATTAGCTGGGCGTGGTGGCGTGCCTGTAGTCCCAGCTACTCGAGAGGCTGAGGTATAGGAAAATCACTTGAACCCGAGAGGCGGAGGTTGCAGTGAGCTGAGATCGCACCACTGCACTCCAGCTGGGTGACAGAGTGAGACTTCATCTCTTAAAAAAAAAAAAAAGAAAGAAAAAGAGAGAAAGGAAAGAAAGAAAGAAAGAAGGAAAGAATTCGAGCTAGTTACTCTCTGCATCAGATGCTAATTCCTGCCTGGCCCCGACTCCCACCTCCATGATTGTTGGGGAATAAAATAAAATGAAGGCTAGGAAGGTATTTCTTATTACCAGTAAGAACGGAGGTTAGACACCGGGAAGGACTTGCCCTGGAGGAGGGCGTGAAGAGGACAGGCAAAGGCAGGGGACAAGGCCCTCTCTTCCGTGGACGCTCTCTCCTGGGGTCGGGGCTGCGGGATCCTCCGAACTCCTGAGCAGCTCTTCCTCGCAGGGATGCCTGGCCGAGCGCTGCGGCTGGGGGCGCTGCGGCTGCTGCTCTTCAAGCTGCTGCTGTTTGACCTGCTCCTGACCTGTAGCCGCCTACGCTGCCCCATGGGCCCGCCGCCTTCCCCCTACAGCTGCCACCCGCCTGCGGGCCCTTGCCTTCCACCAACTCCACCTGGCCACGAAGACAGCGGGACAAGAGGCCACCAGCTCACCCAGGCCCTTAACTTGGGACCGCCGCTGGGGTGACAGCCCTCTGGGCTGGGAACCCGGGAGCCCAGTCTGGGAGGAGGGATCTTACCCCACCAGTTACCCCACCTGCCCAGCACAGGCCTGGTGCTCATGATCTGCCCTCAGGACTCCTTCCTCGGGTCTTGGAGCATTTTTTGCATGTGACCAGCCTCCTACTCTGTAGGCTGGAGCTAGGGGCAGGGGCCTGCCACCCCTTCAAACCGTGTGAAGCTGGGTCTCTCCCATTGGACAGGGGGCCCCTCAAGAGTGGTGATCCACCCAGTTACAGGGGCTTTTGGGGTATGGATGATTGAGAGCATTAAAGAAGAACCCGAATGACACAGCAGATGAAAAATGTTTGAATTCATGTCTATCCTGGAGGAGGGAATTTGGCAGAGTTAGAGGTAGGAGAAATCCAGGAAAGCTCTCCAAGAAGAGGGCTTCCTGAGACAGAACTTGGGAATTGCAAAGTGGGCCTGGCAGTTGGGAAGGCACCTGTCCCCTCAACTATCTCCACCCTCCACAGCCAGGCACTGGGCAAGGCCCCCTCTTCTCTTTACCCTGGCCCAACCTCCCTGAGGGGTCAGGGCAGAGAGCCCAGGAACCCAGGAAGGTGGGTGCTGGGCCTGATGTGAACTCTTGTACAGACTCGACAGGGGTGAACAGGGCCAGGGTTTCCGGGGAACAGGATCGTTTTTGATGCCAAGAATATGAGATGGTAATTTCAAACTTACAGGCTAATAAGTTAAGAATTATTATTCATTTGACAAATATTCTTTGAGCATCAACCCTGGGCCAGGTACTAAAGAGCTCTGGCTTTTTTGGTTTGGTTGTTTCCTAAAGAAGATTCTTGCACTGACAGAGTATGAGGCTTCCACAGTAGAGTGTAACTTGTGTGTCCCCTGCTTGCCCAGCGCTGGCAGGAATTCCAGCCTTTCCTAAGGGTTCTCCAATAGGAGTCACCCCAAGAGACTCTGGGTGCTCTCATGCAAATCCACCTGTCCCTTGGGCCCCATAGGGTAGTCTGCAGGATCAACCTTAGTCTTCCTTCTCCCAGGGTGGGGATGGAGAACTATGTCACAGCACTCCCCAACACATGGTTTCAAGGACACCCTCAGTTTCCCTGAGCCTCTGTGCTCTCTCAGCTACTGTTCCATTAAAATCCTCACTGCCAGGCCTGGCACAGTGGCTCATGCCCATAATCTTAGCACTTTGGGAGGCCAAGGTGGGCAGATCATGAGGTCAGGAGATCGAGACCATCCTGGCTAATATGGTGAAACTTCATCTCTACTAAAAATAATACAAAAAATTAGCCAGGTGTGGTGGCAGGCACCTGTAGTCCCAGCTACTCCTTGAACTCAGGAGACGAAGGTTACAGTGAGCAGAGATATCGCCACTGCATTTCAGCCTGGGCAACACATTGAGATTCCATATGAAACACACACACACACACACACACACACACAAAACAAAAAAACCCTCACTGCCTCCTCCACTACTCATCTCTCACCAGCCTGTAAGGAGATTCTCCCACTTGTTTTAGGGATTCGCGGGTGGTGGTGGCTGGGGGTTGGACATCCCCACAGCTTCTAGGGATGAATCTGTCTGCCATCCCTACAGGGCATGATCCTTCCCTGACACACAGACTCAGGGAGGGGCCCAACTATAGCCTCAGACTTTCTCTAGCCATTATCCCTTCCCAGCTGTCAGCCCAGATGCTGAGACTAGGCCTCTCAACCTCCACTATCAGGCTAGCTTAATCTTATTTCCCAGGAGGGCTTCTGAGCCAAGGTGAATTAAGGGCCATGGCCAAGCTCTAAGCCTACCCAAGTCTTTTTTTTTTTTTTTTGAGACGGAGTTTCGCTCTCGTTACCTAGGCTGGAGTGCAATGGCGCAATCGTGGCTCACCGCAACCTCCACCTCCTGGATTCAGGCAATTCTCCTGCCTCAGCCTCCTGAGTAGCTGGGATTACAGGCACGCGCCACCATGCTTAGCTAATCTTTTGTATTTTTAGTAGAGACGGGGTTTCACCATGTTGACCAGGACGGTCTCGATCTCTTGACCTCGTGATCCACCCGCCTCAGCCTCCCAAAGTGCTGGGATTACAGGCTTGAGCCACCGCGCCCGGCCTTTTTTTTTTTTTTTTTAAAGACAGGGTCTTACTCTGTTGCCCAGGCTGCAGTGCAGTGGTGTGATCTTGACTCCTGCAATTTCTGCCTCCTGAGTTCCAGCAATTCTCCCACCTCAACCTCTTGAGTACCTGAGACTACAGGCAGGACCCACCGTGCCTGTCTCATTTCTGTACTTTTTGGTAGAGACAGAGTTTTACCATGTTGGCCAGGCTGGCCTTGAACTTCTGACCTCAAGTGATCCACCTGCCTCGGCCTCCCGAAGTGCTGGGATTACGAGTGTGAGCCACTGTGCCCAGACTGAGCCTACCCAAGTCTTATCAAGCCTAGAAAACATGGAGGACCTCAAGAGGGTGTCCCAATCTTGTGCACTGTGGATTCCACATGCCACAGCCCTGCCTATCCAAAGTGCCTTGTTACCAACACAATTGTTTTGAACAAGAAGCTAAGGTCAGAAAATGACAAGGCTTGGGCCTCAGTCCTTTGAAGTTTTCATAAAGTAGCATGAATATTCAACCTCTAGGAAGGAAACAAGAAGGTATCAGGGAACAGGGTTTTATGACCAATTTGCAGACAACTTCCCAGAGAAGCAACTTTGGTCTGTGAGTGACTGTAGGACACTGAGGAGGGCCACGTGGTCTGCTTGGGTCAGGTCCGGCTGGGCCATGGAGTTGTTGCCTGAAGAAGAGCCCCAAACCCAGAGTGCTCTTCTCTATTTTTGTTATTTTTATTTAGTTGTTTATTTTTATTTATTTTTTCCCAGACAGAGTCTCACTCTGTCGCCCAGGCTGGAGTGAAGTGGCACGATCTTGGCTCACTGCAACCTCCGCCTCCCGGGTTTCAGCCACCACATCCAGCTAATTTTTGTATCTTTTAGTAGAGATGAGGTTTCACCATATTGGCCAGGCTGGTCTGGAACTCCTGACCTCATGATCCGCCCGCCTCAGCCTCCCAAAGTGCTGGGATTACAGACGTGAGCCACCGTGTCCGCCCTGCTCTTTTTTTGTTTTGATTGATTGATTGATTTTGAGATGGGGGTCTCGCTATGTTGACCAGGCTAGTTTCAAACTCCTGTCAAGCAATTCTCCCATGTTGACCTCTCAAAGTGCTGGGATTACAAACATGAGCCACTGCACCTGGCCTTTTTTCTTTCTTTTTCTTTTTTGAGACAGGGGCTCACTCTTTTGCCCAACCTGATCGCCAAGTCCTAGGCTCAGGTGATCCTCCTGCCTCGACCTCCCAAAGTTCTGGGATTACAGGTGTGAGCCGTTAAGTGTTCCTCTTAATGACACAGCAGATGGGAGTTTTACTGAGTACCTCCTTGTGCTAGGCACCTTGCTGTTGCCGGGGAGGTGGAAGGGAGATACAATCCTTCATCAGCCAAATTCCTGCCGATGGGAGCTCAGAATCAAGATATAAATAATAGGGCAGTAAAAGGGGCTGGGATTACATACAAAAAGAACATTAATGCCTAAACTTTTTACAATCTGCTCGATAAGCTTCAATTCCATTAACCTATTTGAGCTTCCCAACAAAAGGCCAAGTTGGCACAGCAGATAGGAGGATCATTTTGTCATACAAATAGAAACAGGCTCAGAGAGGAAGTCATTTGTTCAGTTCTCACTAGGACAAATCTATTGAGTCCTAAGAAAGTCTGAAGGCTGGGGACAGTTTGAGTCGCCCTGCTCGCACCCTGAGCGCCTACAACAGTGCCTGGCTATAGCAACCACAACAATAATAATAACATTTAAAAACAGGTGTTCAGTAAGGACTCGCGGCCTTAGAACCCCGGGAGGGAAGTGACGTTCGAGAAGGCGGAGAAAGCCGCGAAGGCGGCCTTCCACACATCTTCCAGCACCTGCGCGCGCGAACGCATCTCACTCAGGCCCAGACGCTGGCTTCTCCCCGGGTCCCGATCCTGCATCCTCTCCCCGAGCCTCCGTTAGCGGGTGGGAAAGGACGTTGCCATAGGTCGCTGAGGCCACCATCTGCTCTCTTACTGGCCAAAGCCGAAAAAAGGTAGTCCTCCCATTCGCTAGAGGGCAAACCCCAGCAAGCCTATTGGCTGCGCCGTCCGCGGGCCTCGGTCCGCTTTGAGGCTGGCGGCGGCCGCGAGAGGAGGGCGGGCGGGAGGCTCGCTGTTGTCGTGGTTACGCGGAGGCACGTGTGCAGTCCCGGAAGCGGCGCGAGGAAGCAGCTCCGCGCGCGCCGCGGGAGGAGGCGCCGCCCGGTCCGCTCGTTGGGCCATGGAGTCGTTGCCTGAACCCGCGTCCCGTTGTCTTTTGCTTCTCTCCCTGCTGCTGCTGCTGGCCCCGGAGCTGGGCCCAAGCCAGGCAGGAGCTGAGGAGAACGACTGGGTTCGACTGCCCAGCAAATGCGAAGGTAAGGGGGCGGGGCCCGCGGGGCGTATCCTGCCGGAGGGGCGGGCTCCAGGGGCGGAGCTTGCGGAACGGAGTCGGGGGCTGCTAGGTTCTGAGCCCTACCGAGTCTCTTCGTTCCTAGAACCTGCTGTCCGCTGGGCGCGGGGACGCCGCAGCGGGCGAGAGATCCGGTCCTAGTACTCCGATCCTTGGAGTTCACACATTGGTAGAAACAAGCAATGGTAATTCAGAGTAGTAGATGCCATGATAGGGGAGCTACAGGACTTCCTTTTAGGGGCCGGGCGAGCAGCCTCTGGTCTCGCCTGCAGTGGGGGAGGGGGTGGGCGAAGGCTGTGTGCGGAGGGGAGTCCGAGAGGGCTTCATACAGGAAGCACGAAGAGGAATTAGGAGTTAGCCGATTGAAGAGAAGTGGAAAGAGAGGGGCCCATGCAAAGGAAACTACAGAGGCAGAGGCCTGCTGGCTGAGACGCTAAGGACGAGTCTGAGGAACTGAAAGGGTCCAGATGACTCGTCTTGGGGGAAAAGGACCTCAGACTTCCCCCTTCGTGCCCTCACTGCAACCCAGTCTGTCTAGCTGTCTGTTGCACTCACTCACAGCTCCTCGAAGGCAGGGACTTTGTCTCAGATACGTATTCACAGAGTATCCCGTAGGCACTCAAGTATTTTGGGAATACACATGATTAAGTGGGGGGCTGTGAGTGTGTGTGTGAGGAGGAGGATCTGGGGCTAAGGGGCCCTTTGGGGGAATAATAGAGCCTGTGGGGAACTTCGGGAATGAAGATTGTAGGACCATGGAGAGATAGGCAGTGAGGAACTGCAGAGAGGGAGCTGCCAGGGAGCCAGGACTGTAAAGGACCTATTTCTTTTTCCTCCCTTCCGTTTCTCAGTTTTCTCCTCGGACCTTACAGTCATGCCTGCCTTCCCAGCCCTGTAACCCCAGGACCCCCAGAAAGTTGGCTGTGAATCTCTCATCTGAATCGAAAGCCTACGTCAGGCCAGATGTTCCCTAAACACTGGGCAGTGGGGTTGGGGTAAGTTTGAGACACATAATCCTTCCATTAGAGAGATTAAAAGGAGGTGCTTCAGAGATAAGCCAGCTTCACTGGTAGAGCCCCCAGTATGAGTTCAAGCCTGTGCCTTCCCCTTACTTTTTTTTTTTTTTTTTTTTTTTGAGACTGAGTTTCACTCTTGTTGCCCAGGCTGGAGTGCAGTGGCGGAATCTTGGCTCACCGCAACCTCCACCTCCCAGGCTCAAGCGATTCTCCCGCCTCAGCCTCCTCAGTAGCTGGGATTACAGACATGTGCCACCACGCCCGACTAATTGTATATTTTTAGTAGAGATGGAGTTTCTCCATGTTGGTCAGGCTGGTCTTGAACTCTCGATCTCAGGCGATCCACCCGCCTTGGCCTCCTGAGTTGCTGGGATTACAGGCGTGAGCCACCACGCCTGAACTTTTTTTTTTTTGAGTTGGAGTTTCGCTCTTGTTACCCAGGCTGGAGTGCAATGGCGTGATCTTGACTCACCGCAACCTCTGCCTTCTGGGTTCAGGCAATTCTCCTGCCTCAGCCTCCTGAGTAGCTGGGATTACAGGCACACGCCACCATGTCCAGCTAACTTTTTTTTGTATTTTTAGTAGAGATGGGGTTTCACTATGTTGACCAGGATAGTCTCCATCTCTTGACCTCGTGATCCACCCGCCTCGGCCTCCCAAAGTGCTGGGATTAACAGGCTTGAGCCACCGTGCCCGGCCCTTTTTTTTTTTTTTTTTTTTGAGTGGAGTTTCCCTCTGTCGCCCAGGCTATAGAGTGCAGTGGCATGATCTCGGCTCACTGCAACTTCTGCCTCCCAAGTTCAAACGATTCTCCTGTCTCAGCCTCCTGAGTAGCTGGGATTACAGGCGCCTGCCACCGTGCCCAGCTAATTTTTGTATTTTTGTTAGAGATAGCGTTCCACCATATTGGCCAGGCTGGTCTTGAACTCCTGACCTCAAGCAGTCCACCCACCTTGGCCTCCCAAAGTGCTGGGCTTCTGCTCCTGGCTGCCCTTTCACTCTTCCTCTAGTCCTAACTGATAGCCCTTTTCTTTCTTTTTTTTTTTTAGAGATTTTCCTCTTGTTGCCCAGACTGGAGTGCAGTGGCGCGATCTCAGCTCACTGTAATCTCCGCCTCCTGGGTTCAGGCAATTCTCCTGCCTCAGCCTCCTGAGTAGCTGGGATTACAGGCATGAGCCACCATGCCTGGCTAACTTTTGTATTTTTCGTAGAAACCAGGTTTCTCCATGTTAGGCTAGTCTCAAACTCCCGACCTCAGGTGATCCGCCTACCTCGGCCTCTGAGGGTGCTGGGATTACAGGCATGAGCCACCTCGCCCAGGATTCTGTTTTGTTTTGTTTTGAGATGGAGTCGTGCTCTGCCACCCAGTCTGGAGTGCAGTGGCATGATCTTGGCTCTCTGCAACGTCCGTCTCTCGATTCAAGGATTCTCCTATCTCAGCCTCCTGAGTAGCTGAGACTACAGGCATGTGCCAACACACTCGGCTAATTTTTATATTTTTAGTAGAGACTGGGTATAGGGAACCAGCTCTACATCACCTGTGGGTGACCTGAGTTCGGTGGGACAAAAGAATGAGAAAAAGACAGATTAGGAGAGAAAGTGGGACCGGGGGCCATCACTTTATTACTTTGGAGGAGACAGTGAAGGCCCGAGCTCTGATCATCCACACTATTTATCGGTTACAATCTCTTTGATCTATAGGGTAGGGGTGGAGTCAATCAGTGAGCCAGAAGTCCCAAGGATTGGTAACAGTGGCAGTTTGGGAGTTTTACAAAATGAGAACATGTGGTTATCTTTATTATCATGTATGGCTGGTGGAACACGGACCTTACAAGGAGCCTACAAGTCTGGCTATGTCATAGTGCTATGAAGGGGTTTTATGTCCTTGAGCACAGTATTTATAGTAACAGAGCCTAAGTCACCCTGCACCAGAACACGAGACATGGAGAGGCCTTCCCCCTCAGAGGCCTCCTGTGGCCTTCCGCAGTTTGTTCTTCCTTGTTTATGTGTCACTCATAACCAATTTATGTAAGCACCCTGTAAGTCGTTTCTCCTTTGCTGCTTTTTCCAACAACCAGGTTTCACCATGTTGGCCAGGCTAGTGTCGAACTCTTGACCTCGCGCGATCTGCCCACTTTGGCCTCCCAGACTGCTGGGATTATAGGCATGAGCCACCGTGCCTGGCCCAGCTAACTGATAGCTTTTCAGGGTTTCACTTCCTCTCCTCTTTGTTTTCTGTCTTTTTTTTTTTTTTTTTTTTTGAGACAGAGAGAGTCTCCCTTTGTCTCCCAGGCTGGAGTGTAGTGGTGCGATCTCGACTCACTGCAACATCTGCCTCCTGGGTTCAAGCAATTCTTCTGCCTCAGCCTCCTGAGTAGCTGGGATTACAGGCACCCGCCATCATGCCTCACTAATATTTGCATTTTTGTAGCGATGGGATGTCACCCTGTTGTCCAGGCTGGTCTTGAACTCCTGACCTCAAGTGATCCTCCTGTCTCGGCCTCCCAAAGTGCTGGGATTACAGGCGTGAGCTACCACGCCTGACCTGTTTTCTGTCTTATTCCAATATCAAAGAGCCCATACTGTCTCTCATTATTCTCATAACCTAAGAAGTTCACCTTTATTCTCCTTAGGCAACATTCACGGATTGATGGAAGCATAGAAATGGCCCGGAAATTAGAGATCGTTCTAGCCTAACCTCATTTGGTAACTGATGAAGATTAATTGAAAAGGAATTTGTAGTCACAGGATGGCTTGGCAAACTCCATCCATTAGGCTCATCTTAATATTGTATTTGTTTTTTTTTTTTTTTAATTTAATTTTATTTTTTTTGAGACGGCGTTTCGCTCTTGTTACCCAGGCTGGAGTGCAATGGCGCGATCTCGGCTCACCGCAACCTCCGCCTCCTGGGTTCAGGCAATTCTCCTGCCTCAGCCTCCTGAGTAGCTGGGATTACAGGCACGTGCCACCATGCCCAGCTAATTTTTTTTTTTTTTTTTTTTTTTTTTTTTTTTTTTTTTTTTTTTTTGAGATGGATTTTCGCTCTTGTTACCCAGGCTGGAGTGCAATGGCGCGATCTCGGCTCACCACAACCTCCGCCTCCTGGGTTCAAGCAATTCTCCTGCCTCCGCCTCCTGAATAGCTGGGATTACAGGCACGCGCCACCATGCCCAGCTAATTTTTTGTATTTTTAGTAGAGACGGGGTTTCACCGTGTTGACCAGGATGGTCTCGATCTCTCGACCTCATGATCCACCCGCCTCAGCCTCCCAAAGTGCTGGGATTACAGGCTTGAGCCACCGTGCCCGGCCAATATTGTATTTGTTTGTTTTTATTATTATTACACCTTTGTTACTAACTGCTTACTGTGTCTAGCCCACCAAGCCTGCCTCCTGGCTCAGTAGCCTGAGTGAAACAGGCCTCAGCACAGAGGAAGGAGGACCTGCCCAGAAAAAAGGAGTGGGTGGATGTCAGTGAGGGTTTGGGGTCTGTGCCATGAGTCTCCTCCGAGTCTGGTTGTGGGTGGGATCCCCAGAGGAGGTGTTGAAGAGGTAATGTTTGGAAGAGCTGGAAAGCAAGGCTGTGGTTGATGGCCGTAAGAGAGCAAGGATGTTCCAAACCTCACCTTTCCCCACTCCTGGGGAGGGTATGGGAGGAGGGACCGTGGTGCCAGAAAAATGATGTGCTCACACAGAGTACAGGACAGAAGAGGGGAGGGAGCCCAGAGGGTCCTGGATGGAGAGCCGGAGGGGTGAGACATCCCCAATTCATTGCAGACTTGAAGATCACCAGCTTATTACTTGGAATGTTTATGACTTCCAAATTCTCCAAGCCATTGATTAATTTCACCAAGCAGGCCTCCAGGGAATGTGTTTATTTTTGTGGTAAATTGGTGTTCTACCAGATTGTGCTGTCAGTGTTAAATCCGCCGATGGGATTTAGCCTGCAGACTGGTACTCCTTTCAGAGGCATCAGAAGACGGGCTCTCTCAGCAAGAGTTATCAAGCATCCAACATATATCAAGTCCCAGGCTAAGGAAATATAGAAAAAATCTAATACATAATGCACATTTTGGGGACCGTTGTGGTCTATTTCACACATGAAATGACTGAAAGTCCCTGGGAGAGCATGGATCCTGCAGAGGCCCAGAGTGAAATCTAGAGCAAGTGGGATTAGTGCAGAATGGCTTCCTGGGGGAGAGGCTCATAATTCGAGGTGGGCAAAATGGGCAGAGAAGCCCTGAGAAGGCATTAAGTATTTTCCTAGGGCCTCAGGCACTTCACACCCTTGGTGGTAGCTCTGGAGCACTCCTTACACAGTGGTAGTTATTTCTCTACACCTTTATCTGCTCCATTAGACTGAGTATCTGGAAGGGAGGGGACCTTGTTTTCATCTCTGTATCCCGAGGCAGTGCCTGACACACAGGAGTTGCCTAATACCTATTTGAGGAAGGGTAAGAGGAAATAAGGAAATACATGTACAGACAGTAGGAATAAGATCTCTCTGGAGGGCATGGAGCAAATTAACTTGGTAGAAATAGAGAGCTGGTGTTGGAATACACATGAAATCAAGTAATATAACAACCATAAAAGACGTTTTGGGGACAAGTAAGGAAATTTGCATATGGGCTACTGGGTGATGTTGGAATTATTAATTTCCCAAGTATCAAATTGTTCTGTGGTGAGAAGGTCCTTGTTCTCAGGAGATACATGATGACATATTCAGGGGCAAAAGGTCGTATTTGCCACTTACTTTCAAGAGAGTGTAGCAAAAATAATGTATATATTGTTGAGATATATTATTATATATTGGAGAGAGAATGTGGGAAATTATTAACTGTTGAATACAAGTGGAAGGTATTCGTTGTATGCTTTCAGCTTTTCTGTATGTATGCAATTTTAGAAAGTAAAATGACAGGCCCTGGCGTGGTGGCTCATGCCTGTAATCCCAGCACTTTGGGAGGCCGAGGTGGGTGGATCGCTTGGGGTCAGGAGTTCAAGACCAGCCTGCCCACAAGATGAAACCCTGTCTCTATTTTTTTTAAATGTATACACACACACACACACACACACACACACACACACACACACACAATTAGCTGGATGTGGTGGCGTGCACCTGTAATACTGGCTACTTGGGATGCTGAGGCAGGAGAATCGCTTGAACCTGAAAGGCAGAGATTGCAGTGAGCTGAGATTGTGCCACTGCACTCCAGCCTGGGTAACAGAGCGCAACCCAGTCTCAAAAATAAAGAAATAAGTAAATAAATAAAATGATGGGACTGAGGTAACGGCAGGAGGATGAGAAATAAAGGAGGCATCAGAAGACGGGCTCTATCAGCAAGAGTTATCAAGCATCCAAAATATATCAAGTCCCAGGCTAAGGAAATACAGAAAAAAACAAAATCCACCACATCCAGCTAATTTTGTGCATTATGTATTAAAGTCCGTAGGATTAGTGCCAGGAGTAGATATGAGGCAGTGGATCTTGGAGTCTTGTTTTCACATAGGGAACTCCATTTGATGGTCTGGTACTGTTCTGTATTGAAGAGGTCTGTGGAAACTTACCCCCAAAGTCCAAGGAAGCTGAGAGGCTGAAGAAAGAGGTTGATAAATCCAGTTTCTTAGAAAGAAATATTTAATAGGGATTTTACAAAGAGAAGCAGTGTCTGTGTCTCAGGCAGCAGTGAGACAAGATGGTGGAGCCCTGCCCATTACCTCCCAGATCCAGGACTCATATACCATAGCGAAACGGATACAGGCCAGACGCGGTGGCTCACCCCTGTAATCCCAGCACTTTGGGAGGCCGAGGTGGGTGGATCACCTGAGGTCAGGAGTTTGAGACCAGCCTGACCAACATGGAGAAATGCCATCTCTACTAAAAATACAAAATTACCTGGGCGTAGTGGTGCATGCCTATAATCCCAGCTACTCAGGAGGCTGAGGCAGGAGAATCACTTGAACCCGGGAGGCGGAGGTTGCAGTGAGCCGGATGGCAACATTGCACTCCATCCTGGACAACAAGAGCAAAACTCCGTCTCAAAAAGAAAAAAAGGGATACGAAGGATGGTTGCTTGAGAGCAGGATTTACAGTAAGTGCATGCTCTTACACAAGGAACAATAGATGAAATAGAAATCCTAGAGGCATTCCTGGAACTGGAGTTGATTAGAAGTTAACATTGCACATTCGCATCCAAGACAGAGTTGCCTCAGCCTCCTCAGGTCCTAACTCCCTTCCCCACCTTGAGTATTGATTTGGTCCTCCAGTCTAGGAAAGGATGCCCACCTGGATCTCTTTTGCTGGGAGCCGGCCCCCTGTTAGACTCATGTGCACTCAGTGGGCTGTGCTACCTCCCTCCTCCAGTGTGTAAATATGTTGCTGTGGAGCTGAAGTCAGCCTTTGAGGAAACCGGCAAGACCAAGGAGGTGATTGGCACAGGCTATGGCATCCTGGACCGGAAGGCCTCTGGAGTCAAATACACCAAGTCGTAAGTGAATGGGGACTCACTGGCCTGGCCTGCGTTGCTCCTGGAGACTTCAGGGGCTAGGACTTTCCTTCTCCCAGCTAGGCAAACCCACTACAAGGCATCAGTTGTAGCCAAGACCTGAGTTTGTCCGCTGGTTCTGTCCCCAACTCATTGTGTGACCTGCACAAATCCCTTAACTTTATGCTTCAGCAGATTTCTCATCTCTAAAAGCAAGACTGTTGGATTATATCACTGATTCTCAGATGCTTGGATTTTACAGACCAGTGTAATTTTATTTTATTTTATTTTATTTTTGAGGTAGAGTTTTGCTCTTGTTGCCCAGGTTGGAGTGCAGTGGTGCAATCTCGGCTCACTGTAACCTCCGCCTCCCAGGCAGGTTCAAGCAATTCTCCTGCCTCAGCCTCCCAAGTAGCTGGGATTACAGGCATGCACCACCAAGCTCGGGTAATTTTTTGTATATTTTTAGTAGATACGGAGTTTCACCATGTTGGTCAGGCTGATCTCAAACTCCTAACCTCAGGTGATCCATCTGCCTGGGCCTCCCTAAGTGCTGGGATTACAGATGTGAGCCACTTTGCCCAGCCGAAATGCAATTTTTTAAAACATTGGTAACATAGGATTACCAACTTTTTATTTTGCCAGTTATAAATATATATATATATATATATATATATATATATATACATGTATATATTTTTATTTTGCCAGTTATATATATATATATATATATATATATATATGTATATATATATATATATTTTTTTTTTTTAAAGACGAGGTTTCACCATGTTGTTCAGGATGGTCTTGAACTCCCGACCTTAGATGATCTGCCCGCCTTGGCCTCCAAAGTGCTTGGATTACAGACGTGAGCCACCACACCTGGCCTATAAATATATTTTTTAAAAACTCAACTCTGTCAGCTGTTATCATCCTTTCAAAGTGAATGATATTTTACCATCAAAATTTAATATATTTTGCTTTATCAAAAAAATCTAAATACTGAATCATTTAGCTTTTTTTTTTTTTTTTTCTTTTGAGACGGAGTTTCACTCTTGTTACCCAGGCTGGAGTGCAATGGCGCGATCTCGGCTCACCGCAACCTCCGCCTCCTGGGTTCGGGCAATTCTCCTGCCTTAGCCTCCTGAGTAGCTGGGATTACAGGCATGCGCCACCATGCCCAGCTAATTTTTTGTGTTTTTAGTAGAGACGGGGTTTCAGCATGTTGACCAGGATGGTCTCGATCTCTTGACCTCGTGATCCACCCGCCTCGGCCTCCCAAAGTGCTGGGATTACAGGCTTGAGCCACCGGGCCCGGCATATGAATCATTTAGCTTTATAAAAAATTGCTTCCCTTAGAGCTGTTAAAACTTTGTCTCTCTGGTCTGTATTCCAGCATTTCAGATCCCCCAGACCAGATGACCTATCTTCCTTCCAGCTCTGACTCACTTCCTGTTGGTGAGCTGTGCAGGTGTTGGGGCAAAGGGCTGGAGGGACGGACCACTAACCCACTGGGGCTAGGAGGGGGACTCAGTTCCTCTCATGCCGTTGTCTTGGCAGGGACTTGCGGTTAATCGAAGTCACTGAGACCATTTGCAAGAGGCTCCTGGATTATAGCCTGCACAAGGAGAGGACCGGCAGCAACCGATTTGCCAAGGTTGGATTCGTGATTGTCCTTCACCCGCACTGGGGCCAGGCCTGCATGTATCTTAGTGTGTCTGCTGGTGTGAGTGTGATTTGAAGATCACCCCCTGGGAGCTTCCCTCCTTGCCTCTTCCCATTCTTTGATTGCCATTTGCACTCCTTCCCTCCTGAGTGGCCTGACTTTTCAGTGGCAGTAGACACATGCATGAGGGTCTGCGCCTGTCCACGAGGGTCCTGCTTTAATCTCAGACACAGGCAGAAATGTCCCACAGTTGATGCCCCCATGGGGACCTACAGTCACTGGAACAGGGAGAACTCAGTAAGATCCAGGATGTGCAGAAAGGTGGGGGTTGAGAGGAGACATCAGAGGACACCTAGGGTGAGTGACCGCTTAGTCCCTTCTCTGGGCCCACACAGCACCTCCCACAGGGTGTCCGTGTGACATCTCACGTACTCAGTATGTGCGCGAGTGCTTCTCTCCCTGGAGAATGAGCTCTTACTTACAAGGCCCATAGTTCCTCCTCTCTGTATCTTCAGTGCCTGGCACACGGTAAGATAGTTGCCACCCACATTTTTCTACCTATGTTTCCTTCTAGCAAAGGATACCAGTCATAAATCCCTGGGATGCCTAAGGGCATGGTCTCAAGCAGCAGACATTTGTATGAATTTTGCACTTTACTCAGTAATAAATCTGTTTGCTTTAATAAATGTTTAAGAATTATTTTTCATAGCAAAAAAAAAAAAAAAAAAAATTAGAAAGAATCTAACTCCACCAGTAGGGGATGAAATACGTTGATCCAGTTGTTTGGTGGACTAGTATGCAGCTGGAAACAAAGAATGGGGAGGCTCTTTAGCAACTGAATTAAACTGATCTTCAAGGTTTTTGTTTGTTTGTTTGTTTGTTTGTTTTGGAGACAGAGTCTCACTCTGTTGCCCAGGCTGGAGTGCAGTGGTGAGATCTCAGCTCACTGCAACCTCCATTTCCCACATTCAAGCGATTCTCCCATCTCAGCCTCCCGAGTAACTGGGATTACAGGTGCCCACCCCCGTCTCCCTGGCTAATTTTTGTATTTTTAGTAGAGATGGGGTTTTGCCATGTTGGCCAGGCTGGTCTGTAACTCTTGACCTCAGGTGATCTACCCATCTGGGCCTCTCGAAGTGCTGGGATTATAGGCGTGAGCCACCGCACCCAGCCCTTCAAGGTATAAGTAAAAAGGGCAAGTACAGAAGAGCGTGTATGCTACATGACTGCTTGTTTAAAAAGGGGTTGGGAAAGGATATATTTAGATGTTGGTATTTGTGTGAGTTATCTCTGGGAAAATATAGGAGATGGATAGTGTGTTCTCTCTGGGGATAAGACCTAGGTAGCTAGTAGAGATTGCTTTTACAGAATAAAGGGCCTAACTGCCTCGGCTGTACCCTTTTCCCACTGTGGAAAGACGTAAGCTGGGAAGAATGTAGACCAGCAGGTCTGGATATATGGAAGTGAGCATGTCCAGCCATAGTGAGGGGCAAGAGCTAAGACAAACCTATTTCCTGGAAAAGCAGCATAAAGCCAAAGGGCCTAAGGGGAGCCGCAGGTCTTTTTGAAAGGATGAGGTGTGCAGAGGCAGGTCAGGTGGTGTATGTGCGGGGGTTGTGGGAAGCAGGCCTAAAAGGGGAGAGGAGGTCGGGCGCGGTGGTTCACACCTGTAATCCCAGCACTTTGGGAGGCCAAGGCGGGTGAATCACCTGAGGTCAGTAGTTCGAGACCAGTCTGGCCAACACGGTGAACCCTTGTCTCTACTAAAAATATAAAAATTAGCAGGGTGGTACATGCCTATAATCCTAGCTACTAGGGGGGCTGAGGCAGGAGGATCACTTGAACCTGGGAGGTGGAGGTTGCAATGAGCTGAAATCATGCCACTGCACTCCAGCCTGGACAACAGAGTGAGACTCCATCTCAAAAAAAAAAACAAAAGAGGGGAGAGGAAGGTCAGGTCAAGGATGAGGCTGGGCACGGTGGCTCACTCCTGTAATCCCAGCACTTTGGGAGGCCGGGCAAGTGGTACCCTTGAGGCCAGGAGTTCGAGACCATCCTGACCAACATGACAAAACCCCATTTCTACTAAAAATATAAAAATTAGCCAGGCGTGGTGGTGTGCGCTTGTAGTCCCAGGTACTCAGGAGGCTAAGGCAGCAGAATCGCTTGAACCAGGGAGGCAGAGGTTGCAGTGAGCTGAGATACTCCAGCCTGGGCAACAGAGCAAGACTCCCTCTCAAAAAAAAAAAAAAAAAAAAAAAAAGGACGAAAAGGGTGAGGGTCCTTAGAGGGCGCTAGGCGTTGGGCATTGGCTTTTTAGAGCTGGGTCCTCAGGCACTACTGGGAGAGGAGGGTAGGAGGGAGAGAAGGTAGCTCCGCCTCCCATGTCTGGTCGCTTCTTCCAGGGCATGTCAGAGACCTTTGAGACATTACACAACCTGGTACACAAAGGGGTCAAGGTGGTGATGGACATCCCCTATGAGCTGTGGAACGAGACTTCTGCAGAGGTGGCTGACCTCAAGAAGCAGGTACAGGCCCTTCAGCCCTTGGAAGGGTTGTTGTGCCCAGTGAGGGGCTGGTGGGGATTGGGTCTGTTCTGAGGAAGCCCACCCAGGCCTGGGTGGCTGTGATCAGGTCGTTTCACCTCTCTGGCTTCAGTTTCTTTAGGTGAACCGCCACCACAGCCTACCTTGCCGTGGGTTGTGAGGCTTAGCTGAGCTGCTCTAGGAGCGAGGCTGGGGCTTTGCCAATATGAGATATTGTGATTAACAGTGCGACGTGCTGGTGGAAGAGTTTGAGGAGGTGATCGAGGACTGGTACAGGAACCACCAAGAGGAGGACCTGACCGAATTCCTCTGTGCCAACCACGTGCTGAAGGGAAAGGACACCAGTGAGTTTGGGGAAGGCAGGGCAGATTGGCGCTGGATGATTTATTGTTTGCTCTCCCTCGGGGGAGGTGGGTAAGAGGAGAAACAGAGGGCACCAGAGGGCATTGCAGGATCTCTGTCTTCAGAGGGCTTGCTTGGCAAGACATGGTGGAGTGAGTCACTGAAACCAGGTGCAGAATGACTAGCAGACAAGCCAGATACCCCCGGAGGGGCCGGGTGGCCACAGCCAGGCAGGAGGCAGGGAGGCTGATGTCAGGCATGGTCCCAGTTGCTACTTCTGGGGCTCCCTGTTCAGTGCTCCTCGCCCAGCATCCCAGTCCTGAGGCACTTCCTTTGAGGGTCTCTCTCCTCCACACCCTAGGTTGCCTGGCAGAGCAGTGGTCCGGCAAGAAGGGAGACACAGCTGCCCTGGGAGGGAAGAAGTCCAAGAAGAAGAGCAGCAGGGCCAAGGCAGCAGGTGGCAGGAGTAGCAGCAGCAAACAAAGGAAGGAGCTGGGTGGCCTTGAGGGAGATCCTAGCCCCGAGGAGGATGAGGGCATCCAGAAGGCATCTCCTCTCACACACAGCCCCCCTGATGAGCTCTGAGCCCACCCAGCGTCTTCTGTCCTGAGACCCCTGATTTTGAAGCTGAGGACTTGGGGGCATGGCTTTGGCAGGCCAGGATGACCCCGCAGGCTTCAGGCCCTCCTTGCCTTGGCTGTGCCCTTTTCTACCACACAAAGACACAAGCCCCTGGAAGAACTCAGAGCTGCCATGGGCAGCCCACACCAGCCTTTCCCCTCCCCAGGCATTTTTCTCCTGACATGGGCTTCAGGCAGGCCTTGTGGTTTCAGGACTGCGAGGACTCCAGTATGAACTCAGGAGGGGCAGGTGTCTGAGCCGGGCACCAGGACTGGAGCCCCTCTGGAGTCCAAGAGGAGGGCGCACTCACCTCCCTTCAGCCCTGCCCCGCAGGGAACTGAGACTGCAGCCCGCCATAGCTCCTCTCTGCTCACCTCTCTGCTGAGGAGGGGGAGGCTAAATCCACCCACTGTCGGGAACGCAAGTGTGGGGAGGGCCCAGGGTTGTCTTGGGGTGAGGGGGGGCATGGGCCTAGGGTGAGGCCCAGTGCAGTGCAGTGACCTTCCGCTGCTCACTTGTGTCATGGGCACCTGGCTGCCTGCCTGCCCTCCCTCTCTCCCTCTCCCCTCCCCCACAAGGCCTCCCATTTGTTGTGTAAAGTGTGTTTACCCAGCCAGCTCCTGCCTTTGCTCCTACTTCCACCTGGCCCTGCCTGTGGGTCTTGAACCTTGTTCTCTGATGACCACACTGATCACTCTGCTGTTGCTAGCTGTCCTGCCTGGAGTGCAGATGGGAGGACACCCAGCTCCCAACACCACCTGGTCACACCGTGTTCCTCAGGGCCAGGGGAGGAGCAGGGAGGCCGGCCTCTAGGGAGAAGGGGTGGGAAGCTCAGGCACCTCCCAGTTTGTCCTGCAGGGAGGGATCAGGGCAGCTGGTACAGTAGTGATGACAGTCGTATGTATTCACAGTGCTTTAACTTTTACCATTACCACACACTTGTGAGGTGTGCTGTTAGCCTTACTGCATAGAGGAGAAAACAGGCTAGAGTCAAGTGACCTTGGAGTCAAGGTTCCGGTGAGGAGTAGGTATTGCTGGGAGCACACCCTGGTGTTCAGGTCCAAGTCGGTGGTACTTCCATTCTCCACAGCTGTCAGGCTCTTCCCCAAACTCCTGGCACCGACGGTGTGATTCGAATTGAACTGGTTTGCTTTCTTGGCCTTAACCCATCACCACCACCAGGATTCTTAAAAGGCAAATAGGAAGCAGACGTGTCTTCTTGGAAGGAAAGAATGGCAGGAAGTCCCACTGGAGCTGTGCTCAAACCAGATCCCCTGTGAGCACCCGCAATGCAACTCCACCTCACACTTCCCGGCCGGTCCCAGCAGGTAGAAGGGATACGCTGCTGAAGCCTCCCTGCATCCAGTGAGCTGCTCTGGGGGCTGAACTCCTGGGAGTGGCCCCCTCATAGCCTGGTCCCAGCCTCCCTCCCACAGGTTAGGGCAGCCAAAGCCATTGAGAATGGAACATAGTGGAATCTGTCTCTCTGGCTGTTGAGGATGACCCCAGATCCTGGGAAAATGATACTGTCTCGGTCCAGCCCCCATCTCGGCGTCTCCAGGATGGATGTTCCTTCTGTTAAAGGGGCTGGTGAGCAGTGAGATTCTACTCTAGATGCAGGTCTTCTCCTGGACTTTGTTCTGAGCGTAGAAGATGGCTGGGGGTGAGGTGGGAGGCCAGCATCCAGGGCACAGATCTGTTTGCAGCCTCCTGAACTGTCTAGGATTTGGTGGCCAGTCTCTGATTCCCTGATTCTGTCACTAACAGCACTTCAGGGCCTGGCTTACCTCTGTCCCCAGAGCTTCAATGATTATTTTTTGGTTTGGTTTGTTTTCCTTTTTGAGACAGTCTGTTACACAGGCTGGAGTGCAGTGGCACAATCTCGACTCATTACAGCCTCTGCCTCCCGGGTTCGAGTGATTCTCTGCTTCAACCTCCCGAGTAACCAGGATTACAGTTGCCCGCCACCACACCTAGATAATTTTTGTATTTTCAGTAGAGATGAGGTTTCACCATGTTGGCCAGGCTGATCTCCAATTCCTGACCTCAAGTGATCCACCTGCTTTGGCCTCCAAAGTGCTAGGATTACAGGTGTGAGCTACCACTGGGCCCAGCCCACCTCCCTACCCTTTATTTATTTATTTATTTTGAGATGGAGTCGCTCTATTGCCCAGGCTGGAGTGCAGTGGCACACTCTCAGCTCATGGAAGCCTCCGCCTCCCAGATTCAAGCAATTCTCTTCCCTCGGCCTCCCAAGTAGCTGGGATTACAGGTGTGCACCACCACACCTGGCTAATTTTTGTATTTTTAAGTAGAGACCAGGTTTCACCATGTTGGTCAGGCTAGTCTCGAACCCCTGCCCTTGTGATCTGCCTGCCTCAGCCTCCCAAAGTACTGGGATTACAGGCATGAGCCACCACACCTGGTTTACTCTTTATTTTTTGGAAGAGGATCTCCCTTTGTCACCCAGGCTGGAGTGCAGTGGTGTGATCGTGACTCACTACAGTGTCAATCTTACAGGCTCAGTTAGTCCTCCTGAATAATTGGGACCATAGGCATCACCACTGTGCCTGGCTAATTTTTAAAATTTATTTTTTGTATTCCAGGCGTGGTGGCTCACACCTGTAATCCCAGCACTTTAGGAGACCAAGTCTGGAGGATCGCTTGAACCCAGGTGTTCAAGACTGGCCTAGACAACATAGCGAGATCCTGTGTCTAAAAAAATGAAAAAAAAAAAATAAACACTTTACTTTTCTGTGAGAGTCTCATTCCATCACCCAGGCTAGAGTGCAGTGGCACAATCTTGGCTCACTGCAACCTCTGCTTCCTGGGTTCAAGCAGTTCTGCCTCAGCCACCCAAGTAGCTAGGATTACAGGCACACACAACCATGCCTGACTAATTTTTTTTTTGAGACAGAGTCTTGCTTTACTGCCCAGGCTGGAGTGCAGTGGTGCGATCTTGGCTCACTGCAACTTCTGCCTCCTGGGTTCCAGCTATTCTGCCTCAGCCTCCTGAGTAGCTGGGACTACAGGCACATGCCACCACACCCGGCTTATTTTTTGTATTTTTAGTAGAGACAGGGTTTCATTCCGTTAGGCCTGGCTAATTTTTGTATTTTTAGTAGAGATGGGATTTCACCATGATGGCCAGGCTGGTCTGGAACTCCTGATCTCAGGTGATTCACCCACCTTGTCCTCCCAAAGTGCCAGGATTACAGGTATGAGCTACCACACCCAGCCAGTTTTTTTTTTTTTTTTTGGTGGTTGGGGGTGTCTGGGGTGGTTCCAGCCTCTAACTTGGGAGGCTGAGGCAGGAGAATCGCTTGAACCTGGGAGACGGAGGTTTCAATGAGCTAAGATCACACCACTGCACTCCAGCCTGGGTGAAAGAGCGAGACTCCCTCTCAAAAAAAAAAAAGTCCTGACCCTTTCCTGGGGTGTTGGCCCATTAGCCCAATCCCAAGCCCAGACCTGTCACTGTTTTGCTCTTTGACCTGTGGTTACATTCTGAGTTCCCTCCCTCCCTCCCAAGGCCAGGCTTGTTGCCCACACACTAACTCTTCACCCAGCATACCCCAGCAGCGGCTTATTCTGCCTAGAAAGGCAGAATGAAGGAAACCTGGCTTTCCAGGTTTTTTCTTTCCCTTTTTTTTTTTGTTTCTGTTTTTGTTTTGTTTTGTTTTGTTTTGTTTTTTTGAGATGGAGTTTCGCTCGTTACCCAGGCTGGAGTGCAATGGTGCGACCTCGGCTCACCGCAACCTCCGCCTCCTGAGTTCAGGCAATTCTCCTGCCTCAGCCTCCTGAGTAGCTAGGAGTACAGGCACGAACCACCATGCCCAGCCAATTTTTTGTATTTTTAGTAGAGACGGGGTTTCACCATGTTGACCAGGATGGTCTCGATCTCTTGACCTTGTGATCCACCTGCCTCAGCCTCCCAAAGTGCTGGGATTACAGGCTTGAGCCACCGCGCCCGGCTTGTTTCTGTTTTTGAGACATGGTCTCTCTCTGTTTCCCAGTGCTAGGCTGGAGTGCCATGGCAGGATTATGACTCAATGCAACTTCAACCTCCCAGATTCAAGTGATCCTCCCACCTCAGCCTCCCGATCAGCTGGGACTACAGGTGCAGAGGCACATGCCGCCATGCGCAGCCAGTTTATTCATTTTGTTTTGTTTTTGCTTTTTTTTTTTTTTTTGAGATGGAGTCTCGCTCTGTCACTACAGCCTTGGCAACAGAGTAAGACTCTGTCTTGGTCTCAAAAAAAAAAAAAATAAGATATGTGTTATCCACTTTATGTTATAGGTAAGGCTTCTGGTCAGTAGTAGGTTAGTAGTTGATTTGTTGGTGAGTCAAAAGGTATACATGGGAGCTGGGCACGGTGGCTCAAGCCTGTAATCTCAGCATTTTGAAAGACCGTGGTCGTCTAGTCACCTGTGAGATCGATAAAAAATAGAAAAATTAGCCGGGCGTGGTGGCTCACACCTGTAATCCAAGCACTTTGGAGGCCAAGGCGGGCGGATCACCTGAGGTTGGGAGTTCAAGACCAGCCTGACCAACGTGGTGAAACCCTGTCTTTAAAAAAAAAAAGAAAAATTAGGCACAATGTTGCCTTCCTGTGGTTTCAGCTACTCAGGAGTCTGAGGTGGGAGGATCACTTGAGCACAGGAGGCAAAGGTTGCAGTAAGCTGAGATCATGCCATTGCACCCTAGGTTGGGTGACAGCAAGACCCTGTCTCAAAAAAAAAAAAAGTTACACATGGATTTTCAACTGTGTGAGGAGTCAGAAACCCCACCCCTCAAGTTGTTCAAGGATTACCTGTACTCACCAACCCAGTCTTGGTGTTTTAGATGTGATAGCATGTGCTACATCACGTTTCAATAAGCAACGCTTAGCCTGTTGTCAGGGCCGGAAGTAGTGTATCATTTTTATGTTGAATAATAAAAGCTTAGTGAGGCCAGGCATGGTAGTTCATACCTGTAATCCCAGCACTTTGGGAGGCCAAGGTGGGCAGATCATGAGGTCAGGAGATCAAGACCATCCTGGCCAACATGGTGAAACTCCATGTCTACTAAAAATTAAACAATTAGCTGGGCATGGTGGCACATGACTGTAGTCCCAGCAACTCGGGAGGCTGAGGCAGGAGAATTGCTTGAACCTGGGAGGCAGAGGTTGCAGTGAGCTGAGATCCTGCCACTGCACTCCAGCCTGGGTGACTGAGCAAGACTCTGTCTCAAAAAAAAAAAAAAAAAAAATTAGCTGGGCATGGTGGCACTCGCCTGTAGTCCCAGCTACTCAGGAGGCTGAGGTGGGAGAACCGCTTGAACCCAGGTGGCGGAGCTTGCAGTGAGCTGAGATTGTGCCACTGCACTCTAGTCTAGCAACAGAGTGAGACTTCATCTCTAAATAAATAAATTAAATAAATAAATAAATAAGTGAACAGATCTGTGTGTACTAAAGAGATCTTTTTTTTTTTTTTTTTTTTTTTTTTAGACGGAGTTTTGCTCTTGTTACCCAGGCTGGAGTGCAATGGTGCGATCTCGGCTCACCGCAACCTCCGCCTCCTGGGTTCAGGCAATTCTCCTGCCTCAGCCTCCTGAGTAGCTGGGATTACAGGCATG